CTCTCTTGCCAAATCTTTTAACTCCTTTCCAAGGAGATACCCTTAGTATGAATTTATCTCCAACTTGAAATTCAAGTGGTTTTTGTAGAAAGTCGGTGTATTTATTTTGACGATCACGAGTTGTTCTCAACGGTTCCTTGATTTTCACAATCTTCTCGGTTGTCTCATGAATAATCTTAGGTCCGATTAGAAACGTGTTCCCTACGTGTTTCTTGTCTAGTTGGTTGTCACCGACTTCTTCCCAACACAATGCTGAATGGAACTTTCTCCCATAAAGAACTTCAAATGGTGCAACCTTTATACTCGTGTGATAACTATTGTTATAGGACAATTCAACCAATGGTAGGTGAATATCCAATGCCTCTGCAAATTCTATCACACATTCTCTGAGCATATCTTTCAAGGTTTGTATGGTTCTTTCACTTTGACCATCTGACTGTGGGTGAGAGGAGGTATTCATATCGAGTCAGGTTCCTAATACTCGCTACATTGTTTTCCATAATTGGGATGTAAATTGGATGCCTCTATCTGATATGATTGATGTTGGTACGCCGTGTAGCCGGGCAATTTCCTTAACGTAAGTCCTGGCTAACTTCTCCATTTTGTTTGTTTCCTTAATGGGTAGGAAGTGGGCAGATTTTTTCCTACAATCGATTACCACCCAAATCATGTCGTAGCCGCTAGGCGTCTTGGGTAGTTTTTGATGAAGTCCGTGGCAACTTGTTCCCATTTCCATTCGGGAATTTTGGGTTGTTGTAGTAGACCCGATGGTTTCTGGTTTTCCGCCTTGACCTTAGCGCATGTCAATCATTTCCTCATGTAGGTGGCGATTTTTGCCTTCAAATTTGGCCACCAGTACCTTTTCTTTAAGTAAAGATACATCTTATCAGATCCTAGTTGAACCAAGTATCTTGTCTTGTGAGCTTCATCCAGTACCAGACTCCTGATGTCGCCAAATTTTGGTACCCAAATATGGTCCAGGAAACACAAAGTTTCGTTTTCTTTGGACTCGAATTGTTTCTCCATGCCTCGTAGGCATTCTCCTTCCTTGTTTTCCTCCTTGAGTGCCTATACTTGGGCTTCTCAAATTTGGGTAGGAAGGGTTGACTGGATTGTTAGAGTGAGTGCTTTTACTCTGCGAGGTTTGACTCGTTCCTTTTTTCTTAGGGCATCAACCACTACGTTAGCTTTTCTCGAGTGGTATCAAATCTCACACTCATAGTCGTTTAGCACCTCAAGCCATCTTCGTTGCCTCATGTTGAGTTCTTTTTGGTTGAATATGTGCTGAAGACTCTTGTGGTCCGTGCATATGACACACTTTGTGCCATACAAGTAGTGTCGTCAGATCTTTAAGGAAAAAGTTACAGCTCCCAATTCTAGGTCATGGGTGGTGTAATTATTCTCATGAGTCTTGAGTTTGCGTGAGGCGTAAGCGATTACTTTGTCTCTTTGCATGAGCATACATCCCATGCCCTGATGTGATGCGTCGCAATAGACAAACAAAATCTTCGGTTCCTTCCGGAAGTGAAAGAATTGGCGCACTACACAACATGTGTTCCAACCTATGAAACACGGATTAATTTTGTTCTTTCCATTCAAACTTTGTATCCTTCTGTGTAAGCGTAGTGAGAGGTTTTGCTATTTTTGAGAAATTTTATATAAATCTCCTATAATAGTCTGCCAATCCTAGAAATCGATGCACCTCTATTGGCGGTTGTGGGTGCTTCCCAATTCTTTATGGCTTTGATCTTGTAAGTATCTACGTGAATGCCTTTATCACTGACCGCGTGTCCTAGGAAATGTACTTCTCTGATCCAAAATCCACACTTCGAGAATTTTGCGTACAATTTCTCCTTCCTTAACAACTCCAAATTGATTCGAAGGTGTTGACTGAGTTCTACCTCTGTCTGTGAGTATATCAATATATCATCGATGAATACGAGCATAGATTTGTCAAGGTAGGGTTTACAGATACGGTTCATTAGATCCATGAAGATTGTTAGGGCATTAGTTTAGCCAAAAGGAATAACTGGGAACTCGTAGTGCCTGTAACGTGTTTTGAGTTTCGTCTTCGGAATGTCTTCTTCTTGCACTCGAAGTTGGTGGTATCTGGACCTCAAATCAATCATCGAGTAGAAGTTGGATCCTTTTAGTTAATCGAATAGATCGTCAATCATTAGGAGTGGATATATATTTTTTGATCGACAACTTATTCATCTTTCAGTAGTCGATTCACATTCAGAAGGTTTCGTCCTTGTTTTTGATGACTAGCAACGAGCCTTGCTAAGGTGAGAAACTCGATCTTATAAATCCTTTATCCAAAAGCACTTGGAGTTGACCGGATAACTCTTGCATTTCCAAAGGGGCTAATCGGTAAGGTCATTTTTCCATTGGGGCTGCCCCTGGGACTAGGTCAATTCGAAACTCAAATTCGCGAATTGGTGGTAGTCCGAGCAAGTCCTCCAAAAATACATCGGGAAAATCACATACTTGGGTTATGTCCTTGATTTCCTTCTTCTCGCCCCTCTTATCCATAATATGGGCCAATAAAGCATGATATTTCTTGTGAAGGTATTTATGTGCCTTCATTCAAGAGATGATCCTAAGGCCTTTGCATGTATTATCTTCGTATATTATTAAGGATTCCCCATCGGGTAAGGGTAGTCATACTGCCTTGTTGTAGCATAAGATTTCCGCTCAATGCGGCGATAACCAATCCATGCCGATTATGACATCGAAGCTACCGATGGTCATTTCTACTATATAAGGCTCATCTAATTTCCTAGACTTATGGCTTAAAAGTTTTTTAAACTTAGGTGTAATGAAACTTCTTTCAGCATCGGAATCAAAGAGTATAGATGCGTATAAACCGTTAACAGGAAATGTACCGGTCACAATGGTGGGGTCTTGAATGGAATCCTTCATGCCAATCACAAACGCTCTTCCTCTAGTGTTTTCTCCCTTGTTCCTCAGCCTTGGGCAGTTCCTTCTAACGTGCCCAGCTGTCCCACATTCAAAGAAAACTCGATTATCTGGCAAAGAAGCCATGCCTTGGTTGGTTGTCGTAGTAGGAGTAGTCGTGGGCTGGCTGCAGTATTTCTCGGTATGCCCTCTATGATTGCACCTGTTACAGTTCATGAAGTTTCCAGAGTGGTGGAAGTGACACAAACTGCACTTCGGGTGGTTTCTCGAATATTGTTCTTGAGATGCGGGGGCTGTGACTGCCGTCGGGGCCTGACTGATGGTGATTGCACTGACTGTCTCCTTTCTCTTGCTGGGAGTTTTCTTGGAGGTACCCTTAAATCTGTTCCTAGGTTTGCACTTTTTCTCCCTCGACCTTGTGATGTCATCCTTCCAGACGAACGTGCCTCGTCTTATTTCTTGTTTGGTCAGGCTGTAAGCCAGCCTTTTGGCACTATCGTATGTCGATGGTCGAGAGGTCATGACCAACCCTTGGATGGGTTGAACCAATCCCCAAATGTACATTTCCACTTTCTTGTACTCAAGGGTCACAAGGTTTGGGCAAAGGGTAGCAAAGTCGTTGAACTTGTTGGTGTAGGTCAAGATGTCGGCGTCGCTCATGGTTAAGTTCGACATTTCTTCCTCTAGTTGTTGCATCTCCTCCCGAGGATAGTACTCCTCGATGAGCATTTGTTTCGATTGCTCCCAATACAGAGCATTGGCATTGATAATACCTAGAGTCTTGACGTGGACATTCCACCAAGACATAGCCGCATATGCAAACGTGCAGGCGTCAAACTTCACCTTGTTTTCCTCAGCACATGAGTTGATCTCGAAGACAGACTCTGTCTTCTCGATCCACATAGTGAGTCCAAAAACTCCATCGTTCCCATGGAATGTATTGGGTTTTCATTTCATGAAATCTTTGTAGATGCATGCTATCGGTGCACCTTTCTCATTTCTTTGGGAGCCTTCTCCTCCCGTTCTAGAGTTTGTGTGATTTCCAAGTGCGGCTAGTGCCTCAGCTATTCTTCGTTCGACCATTGCCTCCATAGACATATGGTCTACGGGTGGGTTACTTTATGTTAACTGAGCATCCTGTTCGGCTCGAATACCTTGACTAGATCTGGTAATTCTCGGGGGTGCCATTTCTAGATTCCTAAAGTTAGTGTCGAGACGTGAGTTAATTTGTCAGAATTAGTAAGTTTGACTCTCATGGTTAGGTTGTGGTGTGTTAGTGTTAATGTTAATGGGAACAACATTAACAACACATATTTTATGCAACTAGGTATGTATAATATGTATCATATATATCATGCCGCAATCATAGAAACAGAGTGTGGTTAGGGTAAGAAAATCCATGTGATTACAAAACATATGTGTGTAGGCTTTTCCTAATACCCTAACCTAAAAGTAAAGTATCCATATCACCCCTAGCTTCCATGTTAGGGTCAAAATAGAAGAAACTAAAAACCGTAGTACACTATAAGAAGTTTCATCAGTTGGACTAACTATCTATATACAAACTCTAGACAAATATCAAAAAGAGAGACTCGAGACTCCACCCTCTCCACCTGGAGCTCTAATCGATCCAAGTGGCTAATCACCTCATCTAGCACCTGACGGTGGAATTGGACATTGTCTTGTGCATTCTGAAGCTGATCCTACACGAGTAAGGTCCTCATCTCTATCGTGTCTCTCTCCTCCTCCAAGTAATGCACCCTCTCTGTGAGCTGCATCAAATCCATCGTCAACAAGAAGAGCTCAGTGTCCATCGCTCCAATACGGTCTGAGATATGGGCGGTGCAGGGCACCAGAAGAGAGATGGCCTACTCCACAGGAGTATCCTGGGTAGGGGAGGTGCAGTAGATAACTCCCCCACCTCTAACCGTGAGCCGATAGCCTCCTCATGTGCCCATGCTCGTATCGGGGGCATCCAAACAATGTCTCTGTGGTATTTCTTTACTGTCGGTGGTGATGTTGGTGGGGATGCAACCCTCTTCCTTGAGGGGGTAGCAACAACCTTCATTGGGTCTTCTTTACCCTAGTACATGTGGATGTCCTGTAAGACCAATGGGAAGGAGTGGGGCGGGTGGTGAGGTCTCTAGTGAGGTGGCAGTGTCCTCCTCATCCTCGTCGGGCTCATACTCGGAACTGAGAAGCTCTAGCCCAGTCAGTGTGTAGTATGGCGAAAGAGCTGGCTCTGATGGGTACGTAACGAGAGTATAATTGGGCTCCGATTCATCACCGTCCTCCAGGGTATCGAATGAGTCATCTAGTACTGTACGCTCCTCCTCTAATGAGGAATCTTCCCTCAACGATCCATCACCCGCCATGCTCTTGGGAAACCTGCATAAGACATCAAATAGGAAGATGTTTATGAGAGATGTGAAGATAAATTAAATACTATATAATATCGAATTATAAGTATATAGTCATATAGTACCCGAAACTTGGAAGTCCCCCCACCATGTCGAAAGTTAGAGGTTCCTAGGGCGGAAATTCCTCAAGTGTATATGTCGTTTAGTTAGCCATCCCCAGATGTAGAAGTCTCTAATAAAAGCTTATAAGTATAAAATTATCGCCTAAGCATCCAATCCAAAAGTCCTCAAGCGTTTAGATTTCCAACCACCGTATCCGAGTTCGATCGTGCGTCGATCGAACCATAATAAAACTTAGATGTGCATTCTAGTTCTAGTCGTGGTACGACCGTTGTATTATACCAACTCTAAATATGGTTTTTGACCTAAAATCTTGAATTTCGACTTCGTGGGTTCGTATTCTTGGGTAGTAGATATACTTATATGAGCTTATCTATACTGGTCTTAATCTTTGTTGGGTTGGGTGTATTTTAGGGTTTTGTAATCCAAGACTATCAAGTAAGGATAGGTCAGATGAGAAGTACTGGAGGGTAAGATCATTTTAGCATATAGTCGTTCTAAAATCCAACAACCCAAGCGATAGTTCAAACTAGACACCTTTCCCGTAAGTAGTCAATAAGTAGGGTAATTAATATTAATAATTATTATTAGGCTTAGAGGGCTAAACCTAATCAGAATGTAGTCCTAGATTATAGTTGTATTTCCTAAGGAATTACTAGTTCGCTATAATCTGTAGCCCTGATACCAATCTGTCACACCCCTGGCAGGCGATGGAAGCGCCAGGCTGTGCGATGTTAGGATGTTGGGATTTCAGGCCAATATATGCGTTGAATAATACACAGGATGTACTAAACAACATAGCCTTTTATTTATTAAATAAAAGATAATACATAATTGTTCAAGGTATAGGTAGGTTACGAAAGCAAAGTACAAAAGTAAAGCACATAGGTTCCCGGCTGCATCACCGGGGTTATCTTCTCCTTCAGACATGCTCATTCTCCTAAGAATACATGTGGTTTGAGAGGTCAACATAATGTTGGTGAGTCCATAGGTTTTATTGTTATAAAACTGTTTGGGCATTTTAGTTGTTTTGTTTATCCTAAACTCACTTCCTTGAGTTTGTGAGTACTATCACTACCTCCATAGGTAGATTCCTACTGGTAGTCAAAGATAGTTAGATGTTGGTTGACCTAAACTTGCTTCCTAGAGTTTGTGTGTACTATCTCTACTTAATTTGTTCTTAATAGTAGTTTATGATAGTTAGTTTTAGTTTGACAAAGTTACGATGAGCTCCTTTAATCGAGCTACGACTGTTGATCCCGAAAGAAATACTATGACGCTTCATCGGACGTCACTATGTTAAGAAACTTATGTCTACTTCGACTTTCCGTCGGGTTGTAGCTAGCAAACACAGGTGGGAGTGTCAATCCTATATAGATCTATACATATCTCTATCGATCATTTAAGAATTAACGATTATAGGTCAGGCGCTAGCTGAATATCAATCAGCGTGTTGATGAATCGTATCTCATCTAACTCTTGTCGTGGGGGCCTCCCCTGGTCGGTCGTTTTATTATTCGCGTTGTGTTTATACGGTGTATATATATATATATATATATATATATATATATATATATATATATATATATATAGTGATATATCTTTTAGCTTAACGCCGCCTGTGGTGGTTTCGCCTGAGAATCACAACATAGAAAGAGGCGACATTAGTCGTCGTCCGGGAGGGGGTCCCAGAACGAAACTCTGACGGTCTAGTCAGTAGTTGTATGAGAGAATTAGGGTTTAGTTTGAGATAGAGAGATAGCTGATTCCTTCTTCTGGAGAAGAAGGGCTTCTTGTATACCTTTCTTCATGGGAGCATGTCCCCGACAATACTTTTTGTCTTATCAAGGCTGACAGGATGTGGAGGCGTCCTATTGGCGGATCGTGCACCACTAGCGGTTATCTGCTATTGGTGCAGAACCATCGAAGAGCAGCACACTAAGCGCTACACTTGTCGCTCTGGGGAGTAGTTGGTACTGTTTTGGCCTGTTATAGTCCGGGGCCAATTGGTCTGAGTTGGACCTTGGCACTAGAATGTCGGGGCCTAAGTACGAGGCTGCAAGGGCGAAGGCCCGGTCCTAGCACTTAAGCTGAGTAGTGACAGTTAGCTAGGTCGTCCTTTAGATAACCGTCCCGTTATCTTTCACGTATTCCTAGAGGGATACGTTAACAAGTCCCCTAGGCTAGTAAACGCCAACGTTAGCCTTGGCTGGCTGGGTTGTTCTAGCTTAGATCAAGACACGTGTTTGGCGGAGATGGCTTTGACGTCCACTAATGTAACGGAGTTGGTTGCGCATACGGTTTCATCATTGCAACCATTTGAATTTCATGCCTCTTATTTAAAGCTTCCCTTATCGGGGACGGTTTTCTTTTATTCGCTCTACTACTCTTCAACTTTTTTTTTTCGTTTCCTTTCTCTTTCGTGTTGCATCTGTTAGCGGTAAGCAATGGCGACACTGATCACCATAATAGAACCTACACCAAAAGAGTTTGAGTCCCTGCAGGCCCGATTTGGATTTCATCTTGAGCACAAGGTGCAATATCCTTGAAGGGGGGTGCATATTTCTCGGCCGCCGGAAGGGAAGGTTGAAGTCCCAATCCAAATCTTCAAGGCGGGTCTCCGGCTGCCGACAACTGACTTTTTCGATGAGATCATGCGTCAGTATGGGTTCTTTGTTGACGATATGACTCCTAACGTTGTTAACAAAATAGTTGGTTTCGAGATGGCATGTCGAGCTTTGGGCGTAATCCCTCAATTTTGGGCTTTCAAGTACTTATTCAACTCCTTTACTCAATCTGGCGTGCATATGTTCTCTCAGCGGCAGGGCGTTCGTGCGTTCGTCATAAACCAGAAAGCCCCAAGGAAGAACTGGCAGAACAAATGGTTATGGGTGAACTGCAAATTCATTGGTTTTTGGCTATCTTCGCAGAACCACTTTCATGACCGGACGCCCCAACTCTAGGGGACCAACGAGACAGTGGCACAGACACTGAGGAATATTTCGTTTAATGGGGAGGATTGGGAGGACTATCTGCTGGCCACAGTCAGGATGAGCGTTTCCTGGAGGTCACGTGGGATGATGCCCCATTTTTTCACGGAGAAGGATGGTGAGTGTGCATCTCTTCCCTCCCCCCCCCCCCTTTGTATGAATCTTGGTGAGGTGAGGGGAAGGCTTTGCCGAGCCTTATATATGTAATTTGCCTTTTGTTACAGGTCGCCACAGGATCGTTCCTTTCGAGATGGTCCTACGGGGCAGGTTCCAGGGCAAATTGCAGCATAGGGAAGTGCATCTGGTGGAGATACTTCCTCCACCGGTCGTCATTGATCGTGCTCTAGCTCTTGCTAGTTCTAGCGATGCTATGGCGCAAGGATCTGGTGCGCAGGCTGGCCCGGAGTTGGTCGATGCACTTATTGAAGGGGTTTCTCACGACGATCCTCCGCCTCCTGATTTGAAGGACGAGGCATCAAGGGAGGCGGCGACAAGAGGGAGTCGCTCGACTATCAAGTGGTGGTTGCTTGGTTAGAATCCCCACTTATTGAGGGTGTTCGTGCCAACATTGTTGGCAGGCGTTTTCATAAGAAGCAAAACGTTGACTTCCTGTTAGGGGAGTCGCACGTGGTGGTGGAAATTCCCGATGATGACACTTCGAAATAGTCGAAGAGAACAGATGAAGAGGCAAATGAACAACCTCGTGAGCCCAAGAAGGAGCCAGAGGATACTATCGTTCCTGGTGAGGGTGCTATAGGAAAGGAGCCTGAGGTTGAGTTTCAAACTGCCTTTGATTTTGCTTTGCCTCCGGCAAAGGATAATGTTATTGCAGGTTCCTCTTCTTCGCCCCTGGCGGTCCCTGGAGTTTATATCCCGGAGTGGTGGCTCACTCGAGAGTCCCTTCTTATGCAACATATTGTTGCATACGAGTGGGGTCGTCATGCTTTCCCTCCGGCCACAATTGAAGCTCTGGAGCTCCTCTCCAACTCTCGCATGTCCACCAGTCTCCGGTATGCAGCGAATTAGGTCGCTCCTTATTGGGTGGCCGCCACTCGGCACCTTCGTCAGGTCAATTCATATTCAGCGGAGCTTGCCTCTGCTAGGGCCGAGCGGGATGAGCTAAGGACGATAGTGTTGGGGCTGGAGGAGGAAAAGCTCAAATTTGATGAACGTTATGACCTTTTGGCTGGTCAGAAGGCGTCTGTGGAGGAACCTTTTGCAAGTTTGGATGGGTCAGTGGAGCATTTGGAAAAGCGAGTGGAGACTCTGGTAGGGAAGAAAGGATTATTGGAAGAGTAGGTAAAGCAGCAGGCTGGACAGCTGGCTGTTGAGGAATCCAGGAGGAAGACTGTGGAGGGGGATATGGTGTGGTTGCTCCGGGAGGGTATAGTTCAGGTGGTCGATTGAATCATTGAGAGTCCTTAGTTCTCAATTGGGGTCCAGAGTATGAAGGTGGCTTGTGTCGCAGCTAGTGTGGAGGGAGACAGGCAGGCGGTGAAGGAACATGTGGCCTCCAGGAGATTCAATCCGCAGGAGCCAAGTGTCTTGGTGAAATTGACTCAATCCATGCATACTTCTGTGATGACGTTTATGGAAACAGACGTGGCCTCCCTCCTTCATTTGGGTGAACTTAACTTGGAGGGCCTTCGTCAGTTCTGTCGTGACCCTGACGTCGAGGAAAAGTCGCCTGAAGGTAACCCTCTCAAAGTTGGATCTTCCTCCACTACTCTCGTTAAGTGATTCTCCCTTCTTCCTGGTTTGTTTATGTGAAGTAATGTTTGAACTTGTGATGTTCTTGAGACGATGTCTCAAAGATAATATTTTGAATTGTTGTTTGGTCCTGCGCGGTCCTTCCAAGTCTGGGGGTTGTATGGCAAGACAAGATTTTTTTATCCTTTAATAACATGGTTATTTATATTTATGCAATGCTTTTGTTTCTATCCCCAGGTGGTTTATGTTGTCCACTGGTGAATATGTGCCCTTATTTTTCTTTGTTGAGACGATTCTTCCCCCAGGTTTGTGTTGGCCTTAGGGGGTCGACTCGAGACGATTATGTCTTTTCTGCTCGGTGGGCGGTTGTGTTGTTTGGCGATCTAGACGTGTTACTGGACTTGCCCAACTTATGAATCTTGGACTTATATTTTCTTAAGGTCCTTTGGTGTATCCCGGGAGCTCATGCTCGGAGCTCGGAATTTGTCCTTTCTTTGGGTCATAGATCATTATTTCTAGACTGGGGCTTTTTGTCCATTTTTCTTTGTTCGGGTGTTCTTTTTAACTAGGGTTTACTGATCACCCTTTTGGGACTTTGCTTTAAGTCCTGGGCCTTGGGGAGTTGTACTCTGGCCTTAATTATCTAAGTCAAACCGAGGTCGTCACCTCAAGGCTTTTAGGACTTAGGTATTGTTTGTTTTAAGGGAAAGGTTATGAGCCTTTGAAGCCTTTGTTCATGTCATGATTGAGGCTTGTGGCCTTTTCAGCTTAGTTGACATGTTTTAGGGAAAGGTTATGAGCCTTTGAAGCCTATGGTTGCATTTTCACAACGGTTTCGTTCAAATGACGTGGATGATTAGTCCTTGCTATCCTTTGGTAAACGTGCACAACCTCTTATGTGAATGGTATCAAGCATGAGTTGTAAAAAACATTATAATAGTTTTTTTTGGGGTAGTCAACTTCCTTCATTTTATTGATAATTTTTTTTAGAAATAACTACATTTCTTTGTGAGCAAAGGAAGAGATGTGACTATATCATGGCATAAGCCAAGGCCTAACTCTTGGTCTAACTTGTTGGGGTATGATTATCCATTCGGAGTTTGATCGCATTTCCCTTGCCTCGGATGTGCATTATCTGGGCCTTTTTCCTTGCTCTAGGGGTGGTGGTGCAAACTATACACACTCCAAGTCCAGAGGATGACTCCCCCATTCTGAACTTTTGGGACGCCTACTCCATCTTGGTGTGTCTGGGTGGTCCTGTTCGCATGTTCCTTGGTGGCGCTTAGCTGGCCCCGGGGGCGTACGCGAATAGACCCATTCTTTTTTAGCGCCCAGTCTTCTGTCTGGGAGCTTTCCACTCGCATACACCAAGTGTGGTGATTTTTGGTGTTTTCCCTATAGCTAGCCTGACTGAGTCTAAACGGTCTCATGTTTCTGTTGGATTAGTGTCTAAGTCCATAACTATAATTGGTATGTACCTGACCCGACTCGGCATGGTCCATTTGGGTTGCATGGCATCGGAACATTTGGATAGACCGTTTATGAGGAAAAGACATTTTGTGACATATTAATATATTATAAGTTCTAATATATTAATATGAAATCATGTTATTTAATTAGTATTGATCAAGAATTAATTTGGACTTAATTTAGTGATCAAAAAGAGACTAATTAAATATATGGGGATTGATTGTGTAAATCATTCATTCTTATATATGTGGGCTTATGATCCAAGATTCCTTTATGTTGGGTTTAACCCATGTGGTGATCCATGGAGGTTAAAACCCATGGAGCATAAGGAATGGGTAAAGTCATGAGTTACATGGTGTAACCCTAATAGCCACACTATATAAGAACCCATTTAGTTCAAGAAATTGGCACTAGATATACATATGTAAGAGGGCTAGCCAATTTGAACATGTATGTCTTCTTCTCATGGTTATTCCAAGAGTTCATGATGTTGTGTGAACCATTTGAGGTGTCACACTTGGGGCACTAGGCTCTCAAGCTTCATGGAGTCAAGCAACAATAACAAGGTATGTATTCTATCTATTTTAGTATCCTAGTATCAATGTTTTGATATGCTAGTTAGGATAATACCTTGGATAATCACATTTGCATGTATAATACAGAAAACATAGATCCAAGGTATTTAGGGTTGCATGTACACTTAGGAGTGTTAGAATGCTCAAAACCCAACAGTGGTATCAGAGACTGGTTTGTTTTCAATTATACTTGATGCAAATTGCTGAAAAATGCTGAAAAAGTCGAATTTCGGGCATTCTGGGCACTGTACTCGCCGAGTCCACTGATGAACTCGCCGAGTACATGAAGAAAATCATCCTACTCGGCGAGTAGGTTGATACACTCGACGAGTAGGAGCCCCAGACAGCATATTTTCGAGGTTTTTTGGCTAGAAATGGACTAGGAACATTACCCTAAACTGTTTTTGGACTTATAAACTTGTTTTTGATGTGGTAATGTTCATGCTAATCCAATTTCAAAGATAATTGTCAATAGATTCATGTTTTGTATTAGTTTAGTGATTAGGCTAATTACATGAAAAAGTTGATTTGAATTATCTTGTTCTTATGAGTTGCTTAGATTAATAGAAAAGTTAATTGATTATGTGTTTTCAATTCCATTTTAATCTAAGAGTTGATTCTAAAATGTGTTTTTGTAACTTGTCCTCAAGTTATATGAAAAGTCACATTTAAGTTTCATAAACTCATAAAAGTTGGCAATGGTTACAAATTGAAGAGTCTTGTCCTCAAGTTATGGAGGTTCAAGAGTCACTTCATTAAGTAATAAAATGTGTAACCTTAATTAATTCCATAAATTACAAAATAAAGAAAAGTTACATTTTTTTATTAGTTTAAAGTCTTCCATAACTTGTCCTCAAGTTATGGAACTTGAAGAGTTTTTTAATTAAAACTAATTTAAACACATAAGTTATGGAATTAATTAGTTTTGAATAGTTTCAAAACTTGCCCTCAAGTTTTGGAATTTGAAAAGTTTCACTTATGAATACTTTAATTCCAAGTTAGCCCTTAGAATTTTAAAAGTTAAAATTCAAACCCTTATACTATTATTATAATTTTAATTAAATAGATATGTATAAGATAAAGTCAATCTTACCGTTAGTAGGCCTCATTCACGAAGCCGGTCTATAAGGGGGGTATAAGGTTACTGCCTATAAAATGGCAGTTTAATGGGTGTCCACTCTCACCCACCGCTTCCTTGACTGGTGGAGGGTCGTTAGCCAAACGGGTAGGAAAGGACTATAATTCTCCCTTCATTAAAAGTATTAATGATAAATACTAAGTAACTAAACACTTATACATTCCCAATCTTAGTTACTTAGGAAAATGTGAATTTGGTGCTAGCCCATAAAATTACACTTTGTACCTTACCAAGTCGTTAGTGGAGCGTGTGTGGTTAACCGGCACACTAACATGGACTAGTAAGAGTGGCAAAGGGTAACTTAACTTTATTATAGATCGGTGGAGCGTGTGTGGTTAACCGGCACATCGATTAGGTAATATTATTGAGGGTACGAAGTCAATTTGTATGGTTATTCACACCTTGTTTGTGATCCTCGGCATCCCAGTCACAAACTTGAGAGGGCACAATCGAGATTCAAACATGCCATTGAAAGTTCAATGTATCTCAAAAGATCTAGGAGTTTCAAATCCAATTAAAACTTAATTATATTTCGTTTTTCATGGTGGAAATTGGTAAATCGTCATTTACCTACCTTCAACTATTTATAACTTGGATTACGGCATCCCTCTTCCAGTTATAAATAGGTTGTTGGGTCCTAGCCTTAATATTTCATATTGGGTGTTATATTAAGGACTTTAAATCAACTATCTTGAATATCTCCCAAAAGATGATCTTCCCAAATCTCTTGAAACAAGTTTTCCTAAAATGAAGATGATGTCCCATGGAAATCATACTTCTTTCACCTCCTCCAGTTATTCTCCCTAACCCACAAGTTCCTGAAAAGTTTAAGGTCACTCAAGCCCTATTGGCAAGCAAAGGTCTATGTGTGATCACATCTTGGAGATGTAGTCACATATTGACAAGCCGGGAGAGTTGGGTGTCAAAGTCTAGAGAAGCTGATGATCAATCACTTTCTAAGTCACATAGTGAGTTCCTTTGGGACTCCTATGAAACAGACTATGACAAGACCCTTAATGACCTTATCTATTTGCTAAGATCAACTTTCTAAAACTTTATGGACATTGACAATGATGACATTGGATATCCAGTAAAGCTCTCTCTTCCCAATGGAAAGGGATCGGCCATAGTCAACTTGGTTGACCAAATGGTAAAGAGAACGGCTAAGTCTGAGATAGTCCCATTATCAAGGGTCTATTGCCAAAGAAAGGGGCATTGGTTGCGAAGCTGCCAAATTTACCTAAGGATATTAAAGTCAATAAGTTTGACTCTACTTCAGGTAAAGTCCACTATCTAACTCTACTAAGTTTCTATTATGAGATTCTTGATACATGATGTGACTGGGTCACATGTTGATGTTTTAAGAATCAAAGAAAAAAGTGAAGAAACTTAAAGAAAGATTATGCTGAATCTGATCGCGTAGATGGATTTCTATCGCATAGTTTGAAGATCGGATTCTTAAGCTACATCTTAGGAGTTATGATATATTGCATAGGATTAGATAACAACAAAGTTTTCATGTGCTTTTGCATTGTAAGGATAGTTTTTCCGAAAAGTTTTTTAAAATAAAAGGAAAATTTTGATGATTTTGTTTATTTATTTTAAAATATCCTTACAATGGCATTTGAGGAAAAATTGTTGCTTATAAGATTCCATTAATAGCAAGAGTGGAAATATGAAATTCATTCTTTCATTTGTGATAGTGTCTAAATTTACCAAATAAGGAAAGATCCTCATCACCCAAGTTTCAATTGGACCGAAACTTGGAATCATGCAAGTTGTATAGTATGATGGATGAGAATTTTTCATCTTTGGAAAAATTAAGACTAACTACTTGTTCACATGGA